ATTTCCAGGAAACATCTTTTGTAGAGAAAATGTTTTGAACGTTTAAAAATCTGCAAGAAATTGGAAAATTGAAACATTTTTAAACGCGATTTTTATTACATTCACATCTGCAGGTATAATTTTATTTATTTGTTCTTCTCAACTCAATTTTTGGCGACTGGTTCATACCGATTATTAAATTTGTTGTTCCTCTAGGAAATTACAAATGCAGCGAATGCTCAATTGCAGCGATTTGATTTTTAAAGAAACGATCCCTGTATTGATTCTTTTTTTACAATTTTTAGGTTTCTCTTGCCTCTTATATTTATTCCTCGCTCGATTTCTCTACCTAATTTTAAATTTTTGTTCTATTCCTTACTGTTGACATTTTCCCATTAATTCCAGGCAACGTTTCAATTCCCTTTTTAATTTTTCTCAAGTGTGTCAAGATCTTTAAACTTTTTTGTCCTTATTACTGCATTCACATTTTCTTATTTGAACTTCTGTTGTTTTGTGCTTTTTTAGCCATTTCTAGATTACTGTGTAATTTTTTGCCTTAATTGGTTTCCTTGTTTCTTAACTTGTTTTCCATGCTCTGTACACTATCCAAAAATTTAAACCTTTTAAATTTAGGCCGTTCTATATATTTTTTTCCTTTCAGTTCTTTTATTTTGTTGGTACTTCCAACAACTTTGTAAATTCTGTAAAAGTTTCACCCAAAGCAAACGAACTGCTTGATAAATCTCAAACTAAATCAAAAATATTCGAGGTGAAGAACTTTTGAAAATGGGCTGAAAAATGTGTAAGAAAAAGCAGCGAGTATAAAAATTTATATCAGTCGTAACGTGTTGATGCTGTTTTATTTATTTTTGTTTCATTTGCCCTTTCATTCGGCAAATTTTAAAAACATAATTAAAATAAATTGCTCATTCACCTACTGCGTTTTCTTCCCATGGTTTCATGTATATTTTCGTCCGGTTTCGACATTGTTTCCTGTCGATTCCTTTCGGTCAGATTTACTTGCGTTAGTTTTTAATTTAGCTTTTTGTTGCCTTAACTGTTGCAAAGGTTTCACCGTAATTGGACTGGAAACTTGTTACTATAGACAAAAATGTGATTGAAATGTTGCATGCTTTCGTAAATATTACGTTGGTACGATATCCGTTGAAGTCGCTTAAAATTCAGTTAAACTCGCAAACGAAAGACTCTGATTGCATTTTAGGTAATTGCCTTAATGAAAACCTACTTGTAGCGTTCATTGCAATTCCCCAAAACAACGTCCTTTGTACGTACAAAGTGCGCACTGCATTATGGAGATGTAAATACTGTATTCAAAAAATGCTTTAAAGAATAAAATTTTCCAGTTTATTTCAGTTAAATTGCGATAAATAACTATGCAAATATAGTCTGGATAAGCTGGTTTTGGCGTGACTTAAATGAGTAATGTGTCCGGAACCGCGGCACACACAAAATTAGGTTTGAAGGCAAATTTGGGCAAATATTTAATGAATGAGTCTCAGTGTACCGTAGGGGATTATGAATAATCCGCTATTAGATCTAGCAGGGGGTTAGCGTGGTCTTGATACCTGGAAAATAGTCTTCGCAAAAAAACAGAAATGATTTTGAAAGAATAGAAATTGGCAATTTTTTCAGGTTCTTTTGACTCTTATTGTGGTAGCAATAAGTGAAAGGGATGACAATTTTACACCGGTTTTATCCATTGCATTGTCTTCGGGGTGTTGCCAGGAGATTTACAGTCGCTACCGATAAAGATCCAGAGGATAATTGCGATTCAATTCTGCGTCTTTTCCAGATAACCAACACAAATTTATCGAAATTTATTAGGAATTGCGGAGATATGGATACGAATGCGTTCCCCTCGATTCATGCCCATTATTTATAACCAATAACCGGGAAATCCTGCTAAAGCAAACCCGAATATAAATGGATAGTCGAATTTAATGCGCGAATTAGGAAGGTAAATGTTTTAAGAAAGGTCCAGATTTATGGATGCGGCATAATTCGAAAAGCGGATTTGAAAAACCCGGGGATAAAATGTGTGAATAGTTTATGGAGGATTCGCACTGATGGGCAAACGTTGATCGTTGCAGTTCCATCCCGTTTTTCACTGCAGAGCGAAAATTGTTCCTGAGCGGGAAATTGCCTTAAATATATTAAAGAAATAATTGTGCTGTTCGTTACCGGCGGGTCCCGGTTCCGAAAGGTAAGATAAACTTTCCCGATTCCCGAGCACAATACACTCATTAGATGCAGGACTGCTTTCTTTGTATTTCTTCAAGTTCTCCGTTTTTCCCCAACTTTGCCCCCTTTTGCACAACAAACTGACGAATGTTTATGTGCATTACCGTCCACAGGAAAATGCAAATTTATCATCAGGATTCTTTTGTAGTCACACTTGAAATGTGCGCCCATTCCCTGAATAGGCTAAGTAGATGGGCCACAAGTGCTCGCAATGTAAAGGAAATCTCCTAGTCTTCACTGGGTGATTTGTCAAAGAATGCACTTTGTTTTTGTTCTTTTATGATTTAACCACAAGATGCTTCAAAGGAAACAGCCTGTTTTATCTGAGAGACTATTCTTCCTATGGTTAACCTGAACAATCCTGATGAAGGCTTGAAAATCAACCAAAACGTAGTCAATGATATTTATGTGAATTGGCTGTTTTAGGCAGACTATTCCAGAAAACGCTGAAATTCAAATCCGGAAAATTCCTCATTACTGTGTGTTTGAACAGCAAATGCATGGAAATCAGTTCGATAAACAGTACATTTTTGCTATAACGAGAAAAATCAGGTTATTA